GGCTGAGCCCCGCCGGGTGCGCGGCGCAGCCCGCGCAGTGGTTTCCGACCGCCGTCCGCCGGGCGCAGCGCCCACCGCGAAGCACGGGCAGAGGCGGCTGAGCGGGCAGTCGCTTCCCCTCCCAGCTTGTGTGAGCCCGTGCACGTGTGGGCCGCGCCCTCACGGAACCGTGCATGTGTATGTGCTTGGTCTAAGAAATGGTCTCAGGATGCCGTTCTGGACACCAGGCCCGTGCAGGCAGGCGGAGCCGGCGGAGGGCGGGTTCCGGGCGCCTGTCGCGTTGGGGACTACAGCGGGTCACGGCGTCTGGGTGTAAAGTGCCCCAAGGGGCACAGATCGGCCAGCCGCGCCGAGCCTTGCAGGGTGGCCGCAGCAGCCCTGTGTCCTGTCTGATCCCTGCCGCCTGAGGCACTGGTGTCGTCTCAGTCCCTGTGCCCAAGCAGCTGGCAGGGACCGGCAGCGGCTGTGTGTCTGCCAGGGGCTGCGCTGCCGCCCTGGGCTGCTTCGCCGGGGCCCTTAGATGCCGTGTCCGAGCCCTCCAGCTGCCTGATCCGGCTCTGCACGGCTGTTCCCACGTCTCCCGGTGCAGAAGTCACTGACCATCCTGTCGAATCCCACGCACAGGTGCTGTCCAGAGACTCGAGCTCCGGCAGCAGCCAGGATGTAGGGTTTTAACGCGAAAAATAAAGTGAATGCAATGCGAAAACGAGAAAAAACTACCTGTGAGCTGTCACCCGGAGTGACTGAGTTTGGATGTATTGTTCCAGACTTACTTAAAAGCACACTGGTGATGTTCAGGGATTAGAGTGGACGTAACCCCTCGAGGAGGCCAGAGGAGCCTCGAGCAGGAGCAGTGCACATGCGTGTGCGTCTAAAGGCTCACATTCCGCTGAGAATCTCCGTTTACAACTTGCGTGAGTGATCGTTCAGTCAACAGCCCCGTGCTGGTGTTACTAAAGGCAGAATAAGGTTCTGTCTCCTGGAAGTATAATGTACTAGACTAATGGGACGGACTTAGGGTGCCTGCAGTTCGGCGCTGTTAGAAATGAGGCATGAATGCTGGCTGTTGTTGCGTGCTCCCCTGGGAATCGGGCGCACCCGGGAGCCTCCCAGCGCCCCCCGCCACACACACACACACACACACACACTCTTTCAAAGCAGCGTTGCGGGCCGCGTGCAGCTGGGCCTCGTGCAGGCGGCGAAGCCCACCTGGGTGTCCCCGTTGCTTCCCCGGCTGAGGCCCCGAGGTCTCGGCGTGGACGGCGTGGACTGGACCTGGAAGGGGGCCCTGCCTTCCTGAGCTCGGCGTGGGGACCCCTGTCCGGTTCCCGCGGGGCCCTGCACCTGTCACTGTCCTGCTCGCCGCGCTAAGAGCTCCTTGTTTCTTCACGAGTCATGTCTCTCGGAAGTGGAAGCACCGTGCTGGCTTTCGTGCGGGCCCTAGGCTGGGGAGCGGGCACGCCCTGAGCGGGCAGAAGCCCTGAGGTCCGGTCTCCCGCTGCTGCGCCTGTGTGGAGCCTGCACTGTAGTAGGGAGGAGAGGCTCCGGACACGTGCGCGGGCGTGCGCATCTGCGCCGGTGAACGAGGGCTTGTGAGAGTGACGGCTAGGACCACAGAGAGGCTGGGGTAGCTCCGTGGGAGAGCGCTGGCCTCGCGTTTGAGGGACCCTGGGTTACTCTCCAGGCCTGGTGGAAATGAGTCGTCTCGTTATAGTTTAGCTTTTAAAAAAGATTTATTTTTTAATTAAAGTTTAGCAGTTGAAATAGATTTTTTTGGACAATTCTTAAGTTGCTTCAGGTTTTAAAGTACAAACCCGTCTCAGAGTAGCATAAAAAAAAAGGGCGGAATGGTATTTGGAAATGACTCGCCTAAAGTGAGAGTAAAGCGGGTGGGGGGTGGAGCACCAGGCCCCCCTCCAAAGAGCAAAACCCGAGCGTTCTCCAGTTGGCTGTTTTGGCGTCGCCGAGTCAGGTGCGCAGCCCTACGCAGTCCCACTGGGAGGAATTGCGGGGACCGTTATTCGGTAAAAATGGATGTCGAGGGGACGGAAGAAAAACAATCCCTGGAGAACGGTAAATAGGTACCGGGTTACCGGGAAGGATGTGGAGAAGAGGATCTGGGATAGACTCATCTGCTTTCACATTTAAAAGGCTGCATAAATTAAATTACAGACCATTATATTTAGTAAGTGATATGTTCTGTTTCCACTGGACTTTATTCTGTTACAGTCTCTGTGCAATAAAAATACATGACTATTGTTGTGCTCTAAGAAAAGAAAATCTCGCGCCGGGCATGGTGGCGCACACCTGTAATCCTAGCACTCGGGAAGCTGAGGCAGGAGGATCCTTGCGCGTTCGAGACCAGCCTGGGCTACAAAGTGAGCTCAAGGCCGGCCTGAACTGCACAGCGAGACCCCGTCTCAAAAAGACAAAAAAAAAAAAAAGCTCATGTTCCAAACAACACAAAGGAAGTGCGTTCTTGTGTAAAGTTTTACAATTTTATTTATTTGTTTATTTCATACCAGAAATCAAGTTCAGGACCTCATGCTTGCCAGGCAGGCACTGTGCCGCTGAGCACATCCCCGGCCAATTAGTTGTATCTTTAAGAGTACTTAACTAGGGCTGGGGGTTAGTTCAGTGGTAGAGTACTGCCAGTAGAAAGGTGGGCCCCAGCTTCCATCCCTAGCCCTGGAAAAATAACATAAATATTTTGTATTATACCTTTGGGTTCAGCAACTAATAATTGTGTTATGTTTTCTTTACAGGTCATGCCTTGACTGCATTGGTAAAAATGCTATCATTTTAAAAAGTCAGATATCTCTATTACCTCCTAAACTCCTACAACAAGTACTCAAAAAAATCACATTTTGGACTGCAGCTAATCACCGGGAAGAACAAAGGGTTCAGAAAGAAACAGACAATAAGTGTCAGTGGGTCAGTAACAACTGAACGGTCTGAGCCTGCCTGTGTGATACGGCGAACCATTATAATCGTTACACACCCCCCTTGCAAGCTTCACTGAAGGATAAAATTTGATACAAAAATGCGCTGTGAAAGTCAATGTATGGCATGGGATATATGGAAATAAGATGTGAATATAGATTCATTGATATTTATGTTCATAAACCGAAGTTCCTTGTAAACTGCAGAGCAAATATGATTTCTGAAAGTAAGTACACTTGTAACAGATCTTAATGTGTATGATTTACTGGAAGAGTATGCAAATTTGAGAATAAGAAATTACCCTAAGGATTTTAGAAATATATATATAAAAGCATACATTTTCTCAGATTACTTTAAAATTACCTAAGCATCTCCTTAAATAGCTGTCATTAAATAACATCTCCTTGAATAATTAATAACTGTAGCCAGAAATTATACAACAGGCAAGTGCTGGCGTGGTTTAACATTGAACTCCTGCCCTTTTAGCACTCCCCTAGCATTTGTAGGTACCATCGTAGCTTTCCTTTATTTGAATAGAGGGGTACATGTTTTCAATTTTGTCTCCTTTACCACCATTATTAGCTAGTCCAGCTTTTAATATAAAGATCATGTTTTAAGGTATATAAAGTGGAGGTTAACTTGTCTTACAAAGGATTTGGGGTATTGAGACATGGTATATTTATTAACTTTTGAAGTGCTGAAAAATTTTCTTGGGCTGGGTTTGGTGGTGCATGCCTATAATCCCAGCACTTGGGGAGGCTGAGGCAGTCAGCGTGGAGAATCACCATGAGTTCGAGGCCAGCCTGGGCTCGATCGAGCGTTCAAGGACTAAGCAGTGAGACTCCATCTCAATTTTTTATTTTTATTTTTGCCTGAGAAGAATATGTCATTTTTGTAAGCAATGAAATGGGTGGCAATCTACTTTGACCCTCTTGAAATTCCTTGCTTTGGCCCGTATGGCTGTACAGAGTCGATACTGAAGACACTGACATGTTCAAAACCTGGTATATCCCCTTTGTTTTTAGTATTGGCCTCTGTCCAGAAATGGAACACTGTATTCCTCCAAAAGGTACTTGCGCCATACTTGAGACACTTTCCTTTGTACTGTGATACTCATGCCCTGCCTAACTGGTTATGATTAATTACTGAAAAGCTCAGTATATAAAATTCTCCATGCGAAGTCCATGCAAGTTATCGCTGAAATTTAAGATGTTAAAAAACTGCATTTCTGTATGGAAATATATACATAACTTATAGTGAAAACTGTAGTCTATGGTCTTTCATTAGAGATTTTATACATATATACTATATTTTGGATGTGTAAAACTATTTATGAAATTTTCTGGAATATTTTGTGCTTACATTTTATTTATTGTATAGAGCGTTACTGTTTCTCGGTCTTGTCAGTGTGAACCAACCGGTCATTAGATTGTGCCAAAAACCGTCAGTGTGCGTTGTGATTTTTTAAAAGTCTACATAGCAGACTTAGAAAATAAATCTCACAAGTAGTGTAGGTTTTAGAAGGACTCGTTCAATCACTGTGAACCTGACCGTTTTCTACGGCGAACTGTGCAAAACCCAGGCGGTTGCTTGGTTTTTCCGGTACCGTAACGGCTGGGTCGGCGCCCTCCGCACAGGCTGCTTCGGCCTAGGGAGAGAATCTGCGGGCTGCCCGGTGCATGCGAACCGCCCGCCGGCGCAGTGAGCCGCACTGCCTGGCGGAGGGCGCGGGCCGGACAGGCGGGCGGTGCCGTAGTCTCCTGCGAATACAGCTAGACCGGACAGCATGAGGAGCAGCAAGGTGTGCCGGCCTCGGCGTGCTGGGGAACCCAGCGCACCCCGAGAACCCGCTGAATACTGCTGTACTGCAGGGTGCAGAGAGGGACCAGGGACAAAGCTGGAAAGACCCTGGGACCAGGCCGGATTCTGCACAGCACTGAGAATTTCGCACTCCTAGCCGGGCATGGTGGTGCACGCCTGTGATCCTAGCATTCAGAGGCTGAGGCAGGAGATTGGCTGCGAGTTTGAGGCCAGCCTGAACTACATTTCGAGGCTCTGTCTCAAAAAAAAAAAAAAAAAAAAATGGGACACCTAAACACACTTGTAATGCCCGCTACTCTGGAGGCTGAGGCAGGAGAATCCAAAGGTAGAGTGGTTTAGCGAGATCTTGGCTCAGAATAGAATCTACAAAGGGCTGCAGGTGTATCTTTGTGGTACAGCACTCCTGGGTTCCATCCCTAGTACTGGAAAAAATATTTTTAAATTACTGGAGGTCAGTCGGGTATGGTGGTGCACGCCTGTAATCCCAGCACTCGGGAGGCTGAGGCAGGAGGATCTTTACGAGTTCAAGACCAGCCGCGGCTACAAGGTGAGCTCAAGGCCAGCCTGATCTGCATAGCGAGACCTTGTCTCAAAAAGACACACACACACACACACACACACACACACACACACACACACGTTACTGGGGGTCGAACCCAGAGCCTTTGCACTGAGCTCTCTCTCTCTGGCCCTTTTAAATTGTTGAGCCAGCGCTTTCCGTCCCCAGCACAGCCATGCTTTCTGGTCCTAAGAAGCGTCTGAAGCGGACAGCAGCTCCACGGCGCTGGATGCGGGTTAAACTAACCAAGTGTTTGCTCCTCGCCCGTCCGCCGGCCTCCGCAAGCAGAAAGCATCTGCTCCCGTCGTCATCTGAGGAGCAGACTGGAGCACGCCCTGACTGCCAGCAAGTAAAGCCTGCATGGGTGTCCTCAGCACCGACGAGACCGGAGAGCATTTCCGTCTGATCCCTGACACCAAGGGCCACACTGCTGTCTCGGCATGGCACCTGAGCAGGCCCAGGATGAGCTAGGCAAAGGAAAAGACCTCTGTGGGCACAGAAGGAATCCCACATCCGGGGACCCACGCTGCCCGGACCCCCAATCGAGGCGAGTGACACCATCCCGGCTGGGCAGGACACTGGCAAGATCACCGATTTTATCAAGTTTGGCACCGGTAACCTGTGTGCGGGGGCTGGAGGCGCCGATTGGGGGGGCTTGGTGCGATCACCAAAGGGAGGAGCAGCCCGCCTCTTCTGATGTGGTGCACGTGAAAGCTGCCAAGGCAGCGGCTTTGCCACCTGGCTCAGTAACATTTCTGTCATTGGCAAAGGCAACGCGCCACGGATTTCTCCTCCCCGGGGAAAGGGAATTCGCCTCCCCACTGCCAAAGAAGAGACAAGAGGCCGGCAGCCAAACAGCAGTGCGTGCAGTGGTCTCCAGGGGACAGGAGTGGGGTCAGTACGCAATAATACAGCATGATGACACGCTCAGGAAAAAAAAAAAAAATCCTTGAGACAGTCTCCCTAAATTGCCCCTGAATTCAGATTTGTGATCCTCCTGCCTCAGCTTGCCAGGATTACAGGCCCGCCCCACCACGATCAGCTCAAAAGAGCAAAAAAAAATTTTTTCTTTAGGACTCTACCTTAAAAACAGGAGGCAACGAGAGGGTTTTAAAGTGAAGTAACTTGCTCGGATTTGCCCAGCGGGTCGGGACCCTAACCCCACGCTGGCGAAGCACAAACACGGAACAGCGGGAGCGGCCGCCGCGAG